GGTTAGGGTGTGGGGTGGTTGTATAGTGGGCATGGGCATAGTATGGGTAGGGTGTGGGGGTGGGCCGGGGGCCCAACACCCCGGGGTAAGGGTTTGGATACGGTGAGTTCCAGGAATTGTGCCCGTCCGTGGGTGGTCGCTGCCTCGATCCGCTGTTTTGGCGCCCTCGACCACGACCCCGGTTGCCGTTGCCACGCCCTTGTCCGTGTCCAAAGCCGCCACGCTGCCCGGAGGATGAACCGTCACCATAGCTGCTGCCAAAAAATTGTCCCCAACCGCCGGAGTTGCCACCGTGAGAGGAGCCGCGCCCGCCAGTCCCGCCGTGCTGTCCACCGGCGTGGCTGCTGCCGCCATGCCCCGCCAGCAGCGCCGTGCTGCTGGTGCTGCCCAGGGGGGTCCGTTGTCGGTCAAGGAGAAGGAGGGCCGACCGGACCTGGAGGAAACTCGGCAGGGGATCTTGAAATTGAAGGAACGAAGTTTGAGCTTGTAGATCATCGGGGAGGCCGCGCAACATTTGGAGAACAAGTTGGTGCTCAGACACGGGGGCATCGACGTCATCTAGCCAATCTGCAATATTTCTGAGCTCTTGACAATACGTAGCCATGGGAGTAGATCCTTTGACGGTGGTACGAAATTGGTGCTCGAGTTGCATGGCGCGAGCATGTTTATTGTCGTGAAACAGGTCATGAATCACCTTCCAGAGAGCAGAAGCAGTAGAGACAGAGGAAATAACTAGATCTGAAACTTCATCAGTGATGGTGGAGAGAATCCAGCCTTGGAGAACGGCATCAAGCTGAAACCATTCATCGTCGTCATCGGAGATGGGAGCAATAGAACCGTTGAGATAACCCTGAAGGTTGAACCGCCGTGCAAGAAGAAGGAACAGGCGGCTCCACTTTTTGTAGTTTGGTTGAGAAAAGCTGAGTTGGATTGGAACATGGAGTTTGACGTTGGAGACAGAGAAAGCCAGATGTGGAGATTTTTGGGTGGAGGATTGAGAGATGACTTCACTTTCAGCCATGGAAGGAGGGGGAGGAAGCTGCCTGCCGTGAAAAAAAGGAGGAGAGAGACGGCGGCGCAGATGGAGGTTCGGCGAAGGGGAGGGCCGAAACTAGGGAGGATATTTTTAGGGTTTTAGTTAGGCTCTAATACCATGAAGAATGAGTATTTTCATTGAATAAATTGTGAGGAGAGTACATGTATATATACACAAGTCTCAATCCTAATTAAGGTAGGAGAGACACAATAGGAAACCTATACAAATATGGTAACAATAATAATACAATAATATTAAATATAATATATATATTTAACACTTTGTTTATATATATTAATTATGGTACTCTTCAAATATTAGTTTTAATTTATTGTTAAATATTAAGACTTATGAAGTAGTTTGACATGAGAATATAATGTGAGGTAGCCGGGTGTAGGGGACCCCATGGCCTTAAAATCCTGGATCCGCCTCTGCGCCAAAGGCAATAAAAAATTATTACAAAAGTACAGTTTTGTCAATTTACAACAAAGTGTGAAAAGGTGGAGCACAATTAACTTTTTTGGAGTGCAAATATCAGCTCGGGGTAAAAGTTTTTTTTAATGCAATCAACATCAACACCTTAAAAGTTGCCAGGTCTAGTTGATAGATCAAGAAAATTTTGCTTCTAGGATCCTCACTCAAGGATCCTGATAAAACAAATAGCAAGTACTCTTGCATGACCTTTGTTGATAATAATTAATTTGATTAAATTTGCTAGTTCTTGGCAGGATTTGGTGTTGATAAGCCAAATAATGGATCAACAAACTCACCTTGGCCCTTCGGTATTCAAGCCTCTGTACAATCTTATTCGAAGAGTGTGCAGGACTTTAAGTTCGGCTTTTGCTTTTGTGATCAACTATTGATAATTTAAGTAAATGTTGGTAAGGTAATGTTTTCAAACATGCACTCTCAACTCAAACCTTCCATTCACTTGCTTTGATTGATTTTTATTCTTCCTGATATTTTAACATTATTCCCTCCACTCCTATACAGTGTTCGTAATTCGCTTTACGATGTTTGATTATGTTAGAGTATAAAGGCCTTTACTGGGTCTACACCCACAAGTTTAAGCTTTTGGTAGAATAGGTTCTTTGACATGGTATCAAACCCTCATTGACCAAAAGGTCAAAGTTTGAACCTTCCCACCACCCAGTTTTAAATAAAAAACACGAAGAATCAAACCTTCTGCCGTTCGGCGTGAATGAGTTTTTCTGCCACAAACTGAGGACTTCCGAACTGTCTTAGGCTTGTTATTCTCACTGGGTTCACCACAACCCCAACATTGTTGGATCGCTGCTTTGTGCTTTCCTCAAAGAGCACAGCAGCCCCGGCCTTCTCAACCTAGTCAAATGATCCCAAGCAAAGATTACTCCACGATTCCTTACAAATAGGGCAGATCAAACATGACGCAAATGATGTACAATGCAAATGTTGTCCCAAAAGAACAATTTTATTGTCCAAAAAATAATCAGGAAATTGACATCTCTTGGTTTGAACAAAACACAGCCAGGATCAGAGAATAAAACCTGAATCCAAGAGGAGGGTCTGAGAAAAGTGAAACCATCTTTAGGGTCGGTGTACCTTTCTAGCTCCAGCGCCTCTCTTCCTTCAATGGCTTGGGAGCAGCTCGGGAGAAGCCAAGCAGCTAAGACGGAGTGGGTCAGCAATCTTCTGCTCAGAACAATTGGGGACGGCTCTTTCCCAGAAATTGGAATTGAATAACGAGTCCCCTCATTGCTAAGGTAAGAAATAGGAGAGAACTTCAAGTTGGGTCTGCTGTGCACAGAGGATCGTCTTATCCGTCTCTTCAGGGTTTGCGGCTTAAGTGGAGGGAAGTTGAAGAGGGCAAATCCACACCTACAAATTGACATCTCGGCAGCCAGATCAGATATGCCCAAACAAGGCTCAAACAACGACGAATCAAATACCAGTATATATGAATACTGCTAGAGAAATGACTTTTGACTCGCAGTACCTCACAGACATCATTCGGATATATTGGATGGACTTTTGACTTTTGACTTTTTGGATCCTTAAATATCTATTCCATGTCCGATCCGAAAATTGCCGGATACCCGAATTTTGAATATCCGAAATTTCGGATCAGATCAATGGAATATCCGAAAAAAACTTATATATTTTCTTTTGAATTTTTATTTTTTCCAATAATTCTAAAAAAGTACTCTTATTCAGAATGATTTTTTACTTGGGCTTAAGTTGTCTAAGCTTTATTTTTATGTGAAATTTGCACTGGATAGGACTAAAACATAAGTCATTTCCCAATGTAGGATTTAAACAATTTTATTCCCTAAATAGGATTTAATAATGACTAGTGAGAATAATAATGTCCAAGTCATGCTGGACATGTAGTTGAATAATGACTCATAGATAATGACCAATGGTCCTACTTTAGGAAATAAAGACATATGGTCTTATATTGAGAATGTCATTGGGTTTTAGTCTTATTTAGGTAAATTACTCTATTTTTATATTTATTTTTTTAAATATGAACTTCAGATATCCACGGATATCTGAAATCTTAATATTTCATTCCATATCTGATCCGAAGTTTTTCGGATATCCAATCTGAAATATACGAAAGCTAAAATATCAGATCGGATATCCATTTTTTAGATCGGATCATGGACGGATATTTCGGATCGGATATTTTTGGACATCCTACAAACAACTAGTGGCAATCCGATCAACCGGATGGGTTCCCGTTTGGAATAATTCTGGGTTAGGATATCTTTTGAATATACAGAGTATATTATAATCGATTCGGTTTGAACTGGTTCGGTTTAATCCTGGTTCGGATTTAATTCAGTTCCATAATTTTTTTGGTTTTAGTTTCGGGTCGGTTTAGATACAGTTCGGATAGATTTTGATTTTCGGTACATTTCAGTTCGGATATATTTCGGTACGAGTATATTTCAGTTCAAGTATATTTCGGTTTCAAGTATATTTGCCTATATGTTATTTTTGAATTAAAATATAATCAACTATTCATTTTTTGTCATATCGCATTTATCAATCTATCATCCATTCATCACCTCATTTTCTAATTATACTCCATCTACCCTATATATCTTTTATTTTATCTCTTTAGTCATATTTTACAAATTTGGATTACAAATTATGAAAGAAAAGTATATTTTGTTCTGATAAAAAATTAATATAATTGGATCACCAAATTACATACAATTTAATTAAAATATGTTGAAATTGAGTGAAATTGAATACAATTAGGTAAATTTTGAGTGAAATTAAATGCAATTCAAAGTACATGTTTGGCCAACCAGACAATATTGAGAGGGGTTGAAAAAAAATAATTTTTTTAACTGTGCTCTAGTTTGTATAAATTTTAACTAAATTTTTTATGTAAGCTGTGTTATTCACTTCTATATTAATTTAAAATAAAATAAATTTAAAAGATATGAAATTTTCCATTTTGTTTAGATATGATAATTACTTTTGGACGTATGGAATAAGTAATATAAGTATTTAACTAGTTCAAATGGTATAATAAAAGTAAAAATTTGAAATTACATGAATGTAATATTTCACTAATGCACATAAATATAACATGTTTATTGCCTGTAAGACTCAATTTTGGATCTTATCGATTTCAGGTCTTATCGGGTTTCAGATCTTGTCCTCTTTTGGATGTTATGGATTTCAGATTCAATCAATTTTCAGTTCTAAATGGTTCCGGATCTAATCGGTTTTTGATTTGGGTATGGATATATTTACTTCGTTTAGGTTCGGTTTGCACATTTCAAATCATTTCAGTTTCAGTTTCGGATCATTCGATTCGGGTAATTGGTTCTGATTTCATTTTGCCAGGTCTACAAACAACTTTGTGTGTTGAGATTGATGTCAAAAGAGTTGGTCACTACTATTTTTTTTTATCAAATATTGTTAAAGAAATCTCTATCTAAATATGACTAAAATATTAAAATTACACAAAAATAATGTTTATTCAATTTTTTATTTCTTAAAAAGGAGTATTAGTAATGTGCAATGCCAGCATTGTATATTGATATTTTCTAGTACTTTTGACATTATATTTTTACATTCTTTGCCATTATATATAAAATAGAAAAGCTCCAATTTTAATACGGAGTATATAAAGCATATTTTTGTCCTAAATAATTCTCATTGGTAAACTAGGTCACTATAACCTTGTCGGTTAAATGTGACGTGATCTGGTGGAGCTCACAGGCAACCTCGGAATGTAGTAGTAAAAAGCATACAATACATACTTGTTCAGCCAATCTTTGTGCCCACTTATAATCCGGCATTGAACAAATATGTTCCAGATTTCAACTAATTAACTTCCAAACTTTTAGTAGTGTTTGGAAAGCTTTATAAGGCAATAAATTATCTTTCACTAAGACAATGTCTCAAGAATTTTTTTTCCCTACTTGAAGCAATCTACACGTGAAGTAACACTTTGGAGAATACAAATTCTTCACACAACTCACAACACCAATAAAGAGAAAAGGACTATCATTCTTCTCTTTTACAATAACATCCTAAAAACACAATGAAATAACTCTTGTTTGGAATGAATTTTACATATTAGAAAAACATATTAAAATGAAATTATTGTGAGTTTAATGTCATCATGCTACTTTGGGAAATTAGATTTACTCAGTGATCAGACAATAATATAATAATACTACCTCCGTCCCAGAGTATTTGTCCACTTTCATTTTTACACACCATCCAATACACTTCTTTAATCCATTTTATCTTGTAATTTGTATATTAAAAAATTATAGAAATTATATATTAATAATCTATATGTTAAGACAAATCAAACAGGATTACACATGACTATATTTAGGCTTATACATTGAGAGAATTTGATGAGTTAAAGTGCTTAGCTGAACAGTTCCAAAAGTCAAAACTAGACAAATACTCCGGGACGGAGGGAGTAATTGTTTTGCTTATTTGAATAACTAACTGAACATATGCATCACATTGCTCAAGTAACTGCCTATGTATTCGAATAGTCAATTGGCTATTAAAATAGTTACTTAACAGACGCAATCTTTCTGTTCAAAGGACATGTCCGATTAGTCTTTTGCGTATAAATAGTCATTCATATACCCTATTTTGGTACAACAAGTCCAACAGGTTATTCTCTTCTTATAGAAAACCATCATACTTGTTCTTTAAAGTTTACACATTATTTGATTTAAGTATTTTAGTTTGTGTTACGGGACTATTATTATTATTATTATTATTATTATTATTATTATTATTATTATTATTATTATTATTATTATTATTATTATTATGGTAAGAAATTATTTATAGTTAGTTAACTATTATTAGGAAATATTATATTTGTTAGGTGATTAATTAGTTTCCTAGTTTATTTAGTTGTCTTTTGTGATTAGAATTCCTTCGATATGCTAGCTATAAATGTATCGCTATCATGGAGTTATTATTCAATCAATAAAAAAATCATTCTCCTAAACTCTAATTTTCTTCTCTCTTCTCTCTTGTGCTTTCTCTTCCGTCGAACAAGGATTCGCGATTCTCTCCCTTTTCTTGTTACTTTTTCTATTGGAACTTGAAGGTGCTTGAAATCCTTCCTTATTCCGATATGATACCGTATCAGTTTGCCTAAAATATTTAACTATAGTATGAAAGTGATATTTTCACGATTCGTAAGTCTATCAAGTACCTCTTTTGCATCACAATCCAAAAGGTATCCTCCAACAAAGACTAAAATTACATTTCCCTAAACAATGCATAGATGACAGGCACCGAATCTGTAAGAGATCTTACGACCAAGTTCTTGAAAATAAAGATCAACCTATTCTCAAACAAGGCTAAAGTTTTTATTCCTTTGTATTTTTACAATGACATTTTTGAAATCTAATTTGAATTCATTTTTTATTACGGGGTACTATCATTTTGTACTGTATTTTTTAACTTTTGTATTTTTCTTAAATTTATCATGAGTTAGGTTGTTGATTACTAAATTTACTTTTTTACATGTGAGCTCATTGCAAATGCTTTCATCTATACTATGTACCCCGTATATAATAAGCGCAGCATAATTATGTCTCATCAACACAAGGTCTCCAAAACATTCTTTTTTTAGAGAAAGAAAGTTTCCCAACAGGGCCATATAAAGATTACAATAATAATTATTAATGGTATTATTATTACAAAGGGCAAGTCTGGAAATTGAGTTTAGATGAAAACAATATTGGAAACTGGCGGGTGATCACAGTTTGCACGAGCCCAACCTATAGCGTTCTTCTCATTGTCAAAAATCACCATTTTATCTTGCATAGACACATCTGCAAGGTATGCAAGGAAGGATTGCAGCTTAAAACCGCAATTCATTTTGTATGACCCATTAAATAAAAAGGCTTGAAGGATAATCTAGGAATAAGATGTAACGCAGCCTTGCCCGCGTAAAAAACCAAGGCTGTTTCTGTTAGACCCTTGATTCTTTGATGCATCTATTGCCCAAAACATCTTAGAAAGAAAGGGAAATCTAATATGCCATTTTGATTCAGTACATTATTTAACTAAAGCTAAATCATTGTTAAAATGATGCCTCTTTTAGCTTTTATTGAAGAATGACCAATCATACCTCCGATTATGTTAAAATTCTGCAGCCCTGCTTCTGTGCCATTCAGAACCCCCAAGCAAACACTTCCCTTTGACTGCACACAAGAATATAATTTTAAAGAGTCCTTGCAGCCGAATCGATACAAAGATTTAAGATAGGGCATTACTTAAAAGTACTTACAGAGATGATAAGATAAGACTCTGGGGGCATCTCAAACTGAGCTTTGGATTTCCATCCCTTGGAAAAGCTGAGAGCAAAGGACTTGAAGTATTTCTTCACTTCACTGATGCTAACAAAGGGCTTCTTTCCCTTCCAACAAAACGGCAGAGTAGGGTCATTGTTCGCTTCTTGTAGGGGCTTACCCCTGAGTTCTTTCTCCACCTATCAGCACAGGGGGTGGCATTGTCAATTACTAGGTAAGCGTTGTTCAGGAATTGAAAAGCAGATGCACTGGACGAAGAGTGGGAGTAACAACTTACTGAATAAAGGAAAGCTTCATATGGTTGCGAGTTCAGATAGCTATAAGAGCTCCCGCTATCAAACACTACATGCAGATTCTTTACTCCAGTACTTTTACCACCAAAAAGTAGCTCAGCATGGCCTGGAGAGTAGTGATTCCTGTCGTTTACCATAGTGTTTTAGTCTGGTGATTCGCCAATTTTCTTTTTGGATGGGAAGGATTGATGGAAGGGTTTGGGGAGCTTAGTCTATATCTTGATTCTAGATAGATACATAAGTTTGAGATTTTATAAGAACTCCAAATATTAACATAATAAGTGAAATGGTCAAACATTTCACTCATCTCCGGTACATTTTTTAGAAGCATTTCATTTATCAAGATATATATTAAGCCACCCCAAGCCTTCCTCTATAAAACTATCCATCTAAACAAACCCTTTAAAACAAGGCACATTACGTTAAATCGTGTGACATTGGTGTCCAAGTCACATGCGAGGCATCATACACATCGTCCCCAAGGAAGAGATAACCTCCACCTCGTCCACTCAAGCAGTGGCCAACCACATTCCTAACCAGACCCAGATTCTTTAACTGTGAAATAAGGCTGGTTCTGCCTTTCCCAAGGCCGAGTACCCCATCTGAGGGATGGTGAGATGCACCAGCTATCTGATCATATCCACACCTGATTAAAATAAAAAATTTAACACACACAAGTTTGTGTCTATATTCCTTAGAAAAATCTCCTGGGGCATGCACAGTATGTGACAGAAAATAGTCAAAAATTTATGATACTGGAGAATGACCTCACGATATTATTTATTGGTTCATATTCATATAAGATTAAGATACTGACCCGAGAGCAAGATGGGGGTTAACCTTAGCCCCATTGCTGAGCTTGAGAGAAAAGACATCATTAAGTAAGACACCAAGAGATGAACCACCATCTGCATACTCGACCTCGTAATCACATTGCTCCAGTGTCTCACATTTATAGTCACCTGAATGCAGAGATGCACATAGGGGGTCGTTGCAAATCACAAGGTCATTGTTGGGCTTGTAGAAAGGGTGATGTGCCTGAATTTAAAGGATTGACAAGATTCACTCATTTGGAAGGGAAACATTTGTTATATTTGTTGTGTTGTAGAAATGTGATATGGTAGAGTTTTACCCTCGTACAGTGGACACAAGGAGCATCACATTGAAGCCAAGTAAGATCACTGCCCGTATCCGGATCAAGAAAAAAGGGCTTCGAAGGGTGTCCTATATCCACTTGGACAAAATAAAATCTGTAACAGAGATATTCAGCTATCGCAATGCACCATGTGTGATTTAAAGGAAAATAATCAAATGTTTCAATTCATATTCTTTCCATAGAGAAAATACAGAATAATCACATCATCAGGCAAAATTCATACAGTTACCAAAAAAATTGTTCCTTTCTGTATATATTACAAAATGCATAACGGAGAGATGCAGAGAATGGAGTGTACCCTTTGGGATAAACATTTCCATAAAGCGGTAGAACAATAGATGACGGTTCTACTTGTTTGTACACTGATGATGATGAGGATCCTCCATCGGAACCAGATGAGCTCCATTTCCACCATTTTTGGTGCTCAATCTGATGATCAGTGGATCCTGAAACAAAAGAAACGCAGGCCATCACAAGGATGGCCATCATCACCATTGTTCTTCCCGACATCGTTCTCTCTTTCTCTCTCGATCTATCAGCACAACGGTTCAAATGTACGAATTGGCAGTGAGACTAAATGAAGGCCCAGAAAAGAAAATTTTGAAGATGGGCCACTGGGGATCATGTTTTCTTCATTTAGAAGTCATTGAGATTCTTTGGAAAGGTAAATGATTTACTTGGAAATTGTGGTTTAGAAAGGTGTTGTCTTTATTCTTTATTGTCCTACATATTCTATTATTCTTTTCTTGTCTTGGATCACTGCTAATCTATTCAGTGTGCTTCTTTATTCTTTCCCTCTAGTGTGAGGCAAAACTCCTACTCCGTAATATTACATTTCTAAAAATGGAAAAATAACTAATGCATTGTAGTCTTGTCGGATTTCATTCAATGAATATAAAAGTACATTGCTAATAATATTTTTCACACTTTTATGGCTTATCAATTTCTACCAAACACTTGTTTGCATTAGTTAAATTGACAGATAATTAAGAAAGTGCAAACATTACTTTACCCTTTGGATGAAGTTGAAATATTATTTTGAACTATCTAGACCATAGTTAATTTTCTTTGTCTTGAAAGCCAAAGAAGCAATTCGTATTTTAAGACAACTGATGGAATACTATCATATTAGGGATAACGTATGCACTTGGTTTTCAAATATTAGGAGAATGCTTATGACAATGCACCAATAATAGTTTGGTGAGCAATGAAAAAGAAGAGAAGTATGAAAATAAATTAAAAATGATATATAATTCATAGTTTAAAGTAACATGCAATTACCAAATTTCAAAGACATTGCCCACGGGTAAAGATGAGTGGGGTCTGTGGGAGATCCTGCCATACGCCTGTTGTTCGTGCCTGAAGACTGTTAGCAAGAGTGATTAATGGTAAATTTTGAGGTTAGATATATATAACAACCATAACAGTTACAAGACACACGATGAGAAGCACTTGAATCAGGGATCCAAAATCTGGAAGTGTTGAAAACACAAGCCATAGGCATACATCTTGAAAGAATAGAGACATCAAACTTTGATATTCTTCAAATTTGGTTGGTGAAATTACAACCAGAGATGGTGGAATTCGGACAGCATTGACTAAATCTAGCGGTCTCGCTTTTAGTTCCCAGCACTTATACAGTTATCCTTAGTGTCACTAGTTTTATGAAGAAAAGTAGAACTATAGACCATTAGAGCTGTGGAATACAGGCAGAACAACCTGGTCAGAGTGCTCCTTGAAACAGTAGATCTGAAACAAAATGTAAAACTGTCACTGTCTAGAAAATAGAATTGTAACGTGTCAGAAGATGACAGTGAGGTTTTTGCGGGTGAGTCGCAATGAGAGATGGGTCTGGCAGTGGGTTCAGATTTTGTGTACTACTTCCAGAGAAAAGTGCTAAATGAAAAGGAAAATGTTCAAACCAAGAAAAAGAAGTCAAAAATTAGATGGCTCTGCTCCAATGTGTAACAGTAAAATGTATTAATCCATATATCATAAGTCACATTTAAAGGCCTGATTATAGCAAATCACTGTATCTATGTCGATACAATTAAATCTCTTAGATTACTTCATACGAATGATGTAAGATTACTTTATGCATTAAATCCAAGATTCTGGAAGGCATATTTCCATTATGTTCAACAATCATTCACTTCTACCACCTGCTGATTACTACTAAACTTTGTATTCCTTTCCTGGTTAATTATGAACAAGTAGATATTGCTTATTTATCACATACCACCACTTAACTACCTGCATATGCTCAATGCTCCTCAAAATGAATTCCCTTTGTTATCATTACTATTGAGCCACCTCACTCTGTTTGTCCCCGGCATTCATTCTAGGTATTGTTTACCACTTTTGGTCGTTCCAACCACTTTTATGGTTTAAAGAATTAAATGTCTTGGTGAATTCTATGGTTCAAGACAAGTCATATAGATTCTTTATTGGTGTATCACAACATGACAGTAAACATCCGTGACATGTCCCTATTAGTTGTGGGTATGTAAGGACTAAAAGTTGTGATAAGTCTATACTTATGCACCATAAGTATAAATATTGGAAATTGGGGGCCACAATTGAGGGTAGCATAATAGTGGTGGAACCAAAAAAAACTTTTTTATCCAGTTATCTTCATTAATTACATTTCTCAATCAGCATTGCCATGACCTCTTTCAACTCACATTTTAGAGAATCAAATATTTTGTATTCAAAAAATATAAAAGAATAGATATAATGATGTCTTTGCAACATGGTTTCCATGGTTTCATTCATTCATTGGAAAACCAAAAAAAAAGGAAATAGATAATGGAAAATCTGTTAAGTAACAAAGCATGAAAGCTCAATAAATCTAAAGAAATGTTAAAAAATAAAATACATCTGCATACGTTTTAGAATAAACAACAAACCCAGTGCTATCCCACAAAGGGGGTATGAGAAGGGTAAGACGTAAGTACGCAGAGCTTACCTCACTCATGAGAACAATGACTATACAATTGGAATGTTAAGGATCCTAATTGTAACAAAGCAGATGAACACGACGGGCTTGTACAACAATAGACAACAAAAAAGTAACCAGTCCATCTTAGAAGAGTATTGATACCTCCCAGGTTCCCAATCAGAAACCAATGGATCCGACATCAAGCAATCTTGGAAGTATCTGAAAAAAATACGGCTTTAATAGAAAAAAGTGAATGGTGCAAGTAAATTGAAGCACGGAAAAAATGAAGGAGCATTACCTCTCCAAGTCTAGCTTTGATTTTCAGAGGTACAAAATCATCAGCTCGTGTTTCACCAATGTTTACAATTGCAGTGGCGGCCCCAACCTCATATGCAGTTCTGTGTAACCAAATATGAAGGTTTATCCTATATATGTTGAATCATTCAATAGTTTTTCCTATTGTATACTTTTAGATATTTGAGATACAATTAGTCCCTCCCTGTAAGACCATCATGTAGTATTAAGGTTTATGAAAGCATTTTCAACAATATAGAATGCATCTCAGTTACCCAAAAAATTAATGAAGTAACAAGATTTATTAATTATAGGAAATATTCACACAAATTACTCATATTTGGCTGATTAAAAAAAATTAATCCTAGATTCTCTTGTGCACGTCAATACTTTGAGAAATCAACAAATTTTACATCGCTACATCAGCTTCGAGCTTGATAACGAGGAATTATCTTGGCTGACATGGAATCAGAAATAATGAGTTGGCAACATATCTAGCGTCATTTGGACTTTTTTGAGTAACTTAGAAAAAGAACCCTAATTGAACCTAGTGAAATCCTTTGTCTTCATCCCCAGCCAGTTCGTCTCCTCCCACAGCGTGTTTACTGCCATACTCGGTAAGTTTTATCGCCTTTTCCTCATTTTACGTTCACAATACCTCTCCCTCATCCTCACCTTCATCTAGCTCTTAAACTGAGTTGCTTTCACGCTAGGGAAGAAGACAGACGATTTCACCGGGTTCAGTAAGGGTCCTTTTATTAAGATATTCAAAAAAGTCAACATGCTGCCCAATTTAATTCCATTCCTTTAGATGTGTTACCAACTCATTATTTCAGATGTCATGTCAGACAAAATAATTCTATGTAAGTAACCCAAAATCTATTTTAGCCGAGCTAGAGTAGCGATGTAAAATATAGTGATTTCTCAAAGTATTGGCGTGTAAAAGATAAATGGGACTAATATCGCATAATCGGTCAAACATGAGAGTATTCATGTGAATTTTTCCTTAATTATATTTAAATTATAACAATTGAGAGATTAAATTGACAAAGATTGAAAGGAACATTTCGTATCACATGATGTCAAACAATTTGGAGACAGCAAGTACAAATTCCCCAAAATCATGTTGTCCGCATAGTTTACTTCATTTCCACTTGCCCAAATCTTGGAAGGAGTCGAGAGATGAAAAATACTCCTTAGGCGTTCTCTTTGGCTAATCTGGTCTGAAATTTTTAAGGCTGACCTGATCTGATTTGAAAAGATTTGATATGAATGAATTTCATCCGATTTCAATAGATCTGATCTGAACTATTCAAATTCAAATTAATAAAAATGATAATAATAATAATAAAATCATTATTACTATTCATATGATTATTAGAATTTGAATTTGAATCTAAATACTCCCTCCGTCCTAAAACTTTCTTCCCAGAGCATTATTCCAACTTCACGAGAATTTATATTTATTTGTGTTTGTTCATGACCTATATGATAAAATAAAATATTCTTGTCACCACTTGTTTTGTTGAACTTTTGATGTAGTTTTTAAATATGTATGTTTTATTTTTTATTTCTATACCAATATTTAAATAAAATAGATTGAAAAAACTTGAGATTTTTCTTTGTTTTGCGAACCGGGAAGAAAGTTTTAGGACGGAGGGAGTAATAATAATAATGATTATTATTATTATTATTTGAATTTGAATTCAAAGAACAATAATAATAATAATAATAATAATAATAATAAAATAAAAATAATAATCATTTGAAACCAAATTCAAATAATAATAATAATGATAATAATAATTTAAATTCAAATTCAAACAATAATAATAATAGTTTGAATTTGAATATGAATTCAAATAATAATAATAATAATAACTATTATTATTATGTGAATTCGAATTCAAATTGAAATGATAATAATAATAATATTACTAATAATAAGTATAATTATATTTATTTGAATTCAAATGATAATGATAATGATAATGATAATAATAATAATAGTAATTATCATTATTATTTGAATTTGAATTTAAATTTGAATTTAAATAATAATAATAATAACAATAACAATAACAATAATAATAATAATAATAATAATAATAATTTAAATTTGGATTTGAATGATATTCATTCAGATCAAATCAATTCAAATCAAACAACTTTATTATGATCAAATCAGATCCATTCAAATCAAATCAGATCCATACAGCCTTAAGAATTCATTTCAGATTAGATCAGATCATCCAAAGAGAATGTAGCCTAAGTCGTAATATGCGGGGCCCATGAACTTATGGACCAGGCTTGAGTATTATGTTAAAGCCCACAGGCCAGCCTGACCTATTGATGTTTATATTAATGATACTAAGATTAATGGTAAAAGTATACGGAGTAATCAATAATTAACAAAATGGAATTTGTCATGGTTGTCCTCTTTAATAAAGTACTTTGGCATTGGATTTTAGTTATCATCTTCATCGACCTCCCTAATCTGTTTTATCTTCTGCATCTCAAATACTTAGAGTTATATGTTGTAATATACTATTATATACTAATATCCCAATGTGAAACACTATCAATGCATATTATTTCAAGGTTTTCTCCCCCCGTTAATGTGCTCAAGAAAAATTTTAACAAATATTTCAAGGTACAGAAATTCATGTTGTCCGCATAGTTATATTGTATGGGACAAAGTGTTGGGCAACAAAGGGTGAACATGAACACAAGGTTAGTGTGGCGGAAATGAAGATGCTTCATTGGATGAGCGGTCATATGCATATGGATAGAATTAGGAATGAAAATATGAGAGCTAAAGTTGGAGTGGCACGTATTGTAGAAAAGTTGGTGGAAACTCGTCTTAGGTGGTTTGGATATGTGGAGACAAGACTGTGAGAAGGGTTGATCAAATGGTGAATAGGCATGTGGCTGGAGGAAGAGGTAGACCCAAGAGGACTTGGCAAACATTGATCAAGGCATGTGGACACAATGGCGTCGTTTGATCCATGTAGCCGATCCCACCTATTGGATAAGGCTTTGTTGTTGTATTGGAACATCCGCAACACACCCTTTATAGATTGGAAAAAGTAGGGATATGGAGAAACTTCAAAGTTGAATTGACAAGTGTTAGTGAACATAAAAAGTTTTAAAGTTTTGACATTTTTTAGGGATAGAGGAAGTACAATTTATTACCTAATAAGCCGGAATGCAGACATGGTCATCAAAGAAGATCCAAGTGCAACAAAAGCATCACATTCTTTGGCAGCTAGCATTGCAGAATCTGCTCTCCCTTTAGGTACAGAATCTCCAAAAAAGACAACCTGTAATTGGCTAACCGTAGAAGTTAACCAAATTTTAATAGCATTGTTGCATTGCTGTAAATGTACCCCTACAACCTCCATGGTCATACCCAAAATGAGCTATAAAAGTCCTTTTGACAGTGCTTCAATTGAATTTATAGAGCAAACCCTTTTTTCAAATTACAACAACAACAACCCAGTTGGATCCCACAAGAGCAGGGTCTAGGGAGTGTGTGTAGGTAGACCGTACCCCTACTCAAAAGTAGGGAGGTTGTTTCCAAGCCCTCTTTAATATTATGACCTTTAAATCTTTAAGAATCGAGATATAAGGACAAACAAGTCAATTCTCACAGCTTTACATATGTTTGCTATGATCATATACTTGAAGTTTCCCCCAAAATGTCTATGAAGAGCGGGCATCTCAAAAATGAAAAGGAAAAGTGACTAACATTTGGTTTCAGTAGCCCATTGCACTTTGGGCAAACAGGAATAACGAAATCCTCCTCCCAGAATTTCTCATCAATCTCAATATCTCCATCAGGCCTTTGTTTCATTCCAAAACTTTTATCTGACCGGCTGTCGTAGTCCAAACTTTCAACTGCCTCAGCCCACTGCACAATATATGTTCCTAACTTAAATTGTAGTATCAAACACTAAATAAAACAGTACAGTTCATTAACTATAGAAACAAAAATCTTTGTTTAATTTAAATAAAACAAAAGGCATAATTTAAATAAAACAAAGGCATAACAATTATTCACGTCATTTTTAAACTTTGCAAGATAATAGGCTTTTAAACATGCAGGCCTAATTATAAGTCGTTAACCACAGAATCTTTTGCAACAACCCAGTATAATACTTTGCTGGGGTATGGGGGTCAAGATGTATGCAGCCTTGCCCCTGTAAAATACAGAGACTGTTTCTGTTAGACCCTTGATGCATTGCTGCATTTACTAATTACTACCCAAAACGTCATTGAAAGTAAGAAGCAAAGGAAGTTTAATGTGTCATTTTGATTTCCCTTATTTACTCGAAGCTAAAACATTGTCAACTATGCCTATTTTAGCTCCATTGGCAAGGACATGAACCACAAAATCTTTTACAAAGTAACAAATATTTCACAAACTTATTTCCAATACCATTATAGCAATTAAATATAAAGGCTCCTAATATTAAGAGTTACGACTTCAAAAAGAATGACGATGACCTCCAGGCTCCAACCATGAATGTATTAACAACTTACCCACTTAAGTCCCACTATTGGGTCTAAGGAGGTGGGTGAACACAAACCGTACCCCTATCTAGAAAAGGTAGAGAAGTTGTTTTAAAAACCCTAGTCAAATACACAAGACACAAGTTAGCACAATCCACTAAGTATAGAGATAAACACATAATAGAGAGACAATAGGAAAAGCTATCAAGTATCAAACAAATGGCCACAAAGCAAACACACCACAAAATCTAACTAACCATGAGATTCCTACACACACAAAGAACCACTCCTATACATGCCTACCCTATAATTACATTCCTCAACCTCCAAACGCTTTTATTAGGGTCATGTCCTTGGTGAAATTATGAAACAGCAAGTCATGTCTTATCACCTTACTCGAACCCTACTTCAGTCTCCATATACTCCTCAAATTCCCTACCTTCAGCCTCTCACACCTCTTAGCAAGAGCATGAGTACTCTTTCTAGGCGTGTGTCGAAACCATGTCAATCTAGCTTCTTGAATATTATCCTCTACAGAGGCCACTCCCAACATGTCCCGAATATCTTCATTTCAAACCCCATCCCTCCTAGTACATCTAGACATCCACCTCAACATTCTCATCTAACTACGAATTTATGATACAACAACAAACCGTTTGGGGTTTGGGAACTATGAATGTGTGATGGTACAATAAAGTGTAGAGTGATTAGTAGCTGAGAGGAATACAAGCTTGAGGAATTTCGCTAAAAAAGGCTTTAGCCATGGGTTGAGTGATCATGACAAAGAGGGAATACAAATATTATTAGAAACAAAGTTTTCATTACAACTGTCTGCACTTCTTTTGATAGTGAAGAATTGAGTCATTCAAACTTTTGACGCTCATCATGGGTCTTTCGGAAATAGCCGCTCTATGTCTTAAACATAGGAGTCAGGCTGTGTATGCGACCTGTGGTACTTGAGCCGGTGGTCTCTTTGGAAACCGCCTCTCTACATTCGAGTAGGGGTAAGGTCTGCGCACACACACCCTCCCCACACCCTACTTTTGTGGGATTCAACTGGGTTGTTTTTGTTGTTGTTGTCTTCATTCCACATAAAATACACGGATATAAAAAGAAAAAATGACTAACCTTGGGGTTAAGAGCCCTCACTTGGTCCTGAAATAGTTCACGAGCTAGAGTATAACCACAACCTATACAGATAACAGTATATACAGTACCATGCAATTCAAGTGGGTTACTGCCAGCACGGTGGTGTAGCCTGAAACAGAAATGAACTTTCAGTAACATCAGTCAAATAATCAGTAATCATGCATGTTAAAATCAAAGCCAGTTTTAATCACCTGTCCACATTCTGTGTAATCATATAACTAATCTGGCCAGCTCTTTCAAGAGAAGTCAAAGCAATATGAGCAGCACTGGGCTGTGCAGCAGTGAACCGTCTCCATCCAGCATAGCTTCGTGCCCAATAACGTCTCCGTGCCCGAACCGATCGGATAAATTCCTGCATGTTGAAAACCATTCAAGTCTATATCTCAGACATCAAACGTGACAACTCACTGCAGAAAAAGCAACGCTCATATACAAACAAGCTACATTGACTAAAGAAGGTTTCATGTGAAGGTTCCAAAAATGCTGGGAGCCTTGGGAGGGATTGTGCACATTACTAGCAGGGAAGTTTTCTACCGGGCTGTTGTTCTTGTTGTTTTTTATTTCCTAAATTTGGAAAACAGAAATGATGATATTTTCTTTTTCGAGTAAATAGAAAACTTCCCTGCTAGTAAACAGAACCTTATTTTTTTTCTTATTTCGATTACTAACATGAGGTTACTGGAAGAGAGGTTGATATGGTTAACTGAGTTGTTTAATGTCATTGCCAAGACGACTAAGATGCCTGAAGAATGGAAGGAGAGCACAATTATTCTATTGCACAAAGGGAAAGGCATCAATGCGACATCCAAAATTGTAATAATCATAGGGGCATCAAAGTGCTTGGCTACACCATGAAGGTCTCGGAATGGGTAGCAGAGGTGAGAATGATGGTGGAGGTGTCTGTTTTCGAGAACCAATCAAAATACATGCTAGGACGGTCGACTATAGAGGCCTTTCACCTTTTGATGAGATAGATGGAGCAGTGTAGGAATGTGAACAGAGAACTTTCACATTGTGTTTATAAACTTGAAGAGGTGCTTTGAATACAAACTAGTGCTAATAGCATGCATTAGAGCAATTAGGTCATGTATGATGGAGCCAAGACTAGAGTGAGGGTGATTCTCCACAGATGTTTTTTGTGACAATGGGACTACACCAAGGTTCTACTCTTAGTCCTTTGTTTGTTGCCTTGGAGATGGATGAACTTACACCCCATATGCATGGGGAGGTATCTTGGTGCATGCTATTTGCAGAAAATATTATCTTTGGAACGTTTGGTTAATGAAACACACTGGGAGTTGATAATAAGTTGGAGGTGCGGAGGCGTACCTTGGAATCTAAAGGTTTAAGACTAAACAAAACTAAGACTCTGTACATGAAGTGCAGTTTCATCGATTTACCAACAAAGTCAGAAATGGACATGAAGCTCAACTCACAATTTGTTACCAAAAGGGATAGGACATGGTACATTGAATCTATCATTCAAGCTGATTGGTGTGATTAATGGGGATGTTGTCCACTGTGTCAAGTTAGGGGCGGGATGAAATGGAGGCTTGCTTTCGGTGTCCTCTGCAACAAGGTGTCAGCAAGACTGAAAGGAAAGTTTTATCGAGCAATGGTTGGACAAGCTATGTTGTATGAAGTGGAGTATTGGCAGATGACGAACACACATGTCTAGAAGATGTTAGTGGTAGAGATGATGATGCTGAGGTGGATGTGTGGGTTTACGATGATGGATCAACTCCAAAACAAGTATATTCGGGACAGATGGGAGTGGCATTTATGGAGGATAAGTTGCGGAGAGTGGTGCCCAATCTCCACACTCAAAATCAAGGTTATTAAGATCGTGATCTGGATCACAACATCGTACAATTGTATGAGCACTGTTTGCTTCCACGACCCAGATCGCTACTGGCATTAGAAAATAGCAGGATCGATGGGGATCGGTGAGGCGAGACATATAATCATCAGATAGTGACTGTGATTCGATCTAGAACAAGATCGGCGGTAAAAAAAGAGTCACACCTGAATCGTTATCGACCAGTTTCCTGCGGCTTTCAAATTCTTCAAAGCGCCATTCAACATCTTCAAACAATAAGATGACTCTATTTTCCCAAATCTTCCCTCTATAATAACTTCAGTATTTACCAATATCTTCACTTCTCCCCCTTCCAATTTGCATCTACATCTCCCCTCTCTCATGAAATCGCATCTCCATTTCCCCTTTCCTGCTATTTCCAACTCTTTGTCGTTCTCTCCTGCAACAATAGTTTTTTTGGGGGAAAAGTATAAGGTAAACTGAGTATGGACGACATCCTTTTGCAGTATACAACACGTAAAGCTTCTCTTTGAGGTACACTTTTTCTCTTTGCAGTATACTTTTTCTCTTTGTAGTATTACCAATATTACCCGTGCACTTTTTACTTTTCCTCTAGCTTGAGTAAGGTTTTATTTTCCTTTAGCTCAGTTTTGGATTTGGAGACGGTGACAGGACTAAAAGCTTCAAAGGTGAGTTTTGATTTGAGCCTTTACTTCTAGGTCACATGACTAAAAAGCTTCAAAGCATCAAAAAATGTCTAGATCAAGTCGAAGACTCGAAGGACTAACAAGAATGTTGTCGGGATGAAAACGGCTATTACAATGGATCATGGCATTTCAATGAGCAATGATAACCAAACAATCAAATGCAAATGTTGCGAGAAGGTATTCACTGGAGGGGTCTATTGCTTGAAACATTACTTAGGCTGCGAATGGTCCGCCTAATCTGATCTCATTTGTTCTGATTTTTTGAAGATCTGATCTGATCTGATTGCAGTTATAATCTGTTCTGATCTGAAATGGTCTGATCTAGTCTGATCTTGTTATAATAAGAATAAGTAATATGCAAAAAAAATAAGTTGAATGGAACGCTGCCTTAGCTGGAACTAACAAGGATGTTGGTCTTTGTAGAAGCGTAAGCGACGAAGTCTGAAAATAAATGTGGGACATTTTAGCTTTGTTGCAAGAAAAGTTGAACACTAAGGTCGATGAATATGGAGGAGATGATGCCGAGAGAAGAAAGAAAAGAAAATGAGAATCCAAGCAATCTCTTCAAGAAACAGGGTGAGCACTCAAGCTACCATGAACACAATTTTCAAGAACTTGTGTGAAGAAGCATGTGAGGCAATTTCTACATTCTTTTTCAACAATTGAATACCGTTTCATGTTGCTAATAGTGAAGAATTCAGGAAATTGATTGATTCCATTGCTCAACATGGGCTCGGATTCAAGCTTCCATCTTATCCTGAGATAAGAGTCGAATACTTAAAGAAACAAGTTGAAAAGACCAATTTAATAGTGGAGGAGCACAAAACCTATTGGAAGAATCATGATGGAGCATGATGATAGTTGGGTGGACCAACAAGAGGATGAGGACTTTACTATTTGTTTTGGTAAGCAGTCCTACAGGTACAATTTCCTGGAAACACTTGATACATCTGACATATCTAGAACTAGTGATAAGATATTTATGGTGTTAAATGACCTTGTTGAAGAGATTGGGAACGAAAATGATGTCTAAGTTGTGACAGATAATGCAGCAAATTACTACTATAAGCAGCTATATAATTATTCATGGAGAAGAAGACGAATTTGTATTGGACCCCATGTGCTGCATATTGCATTGATTTGATGTTGGACGATTTTCAGAATAACATATCTCTACTACATAAGGAGACAAATGCTAACGTGAAGAGATTAAAAGTTACATCTATTCACGGTGGAGATTAGACCTGGTATGACTCGTTTTTCCACTTCTTATTTAACATTGGGATGTTTGCATGATAACACGGGTTCACCAATATGACTAGTCCGTAGTCACATGTGCTCAATTTAAATCTAGTGAATTTGTATAGACTAGAGATGGAAGTACATTGAGAATTTGATTATTGATAAACAATGTTGGTCTAATGGTCTTAATTGTTTGAGAGGTGCTTATCTATTAACGAAAGTGTTGCACTTGGTTGATTCCGATGAAAAACCAGTAATGGGGTTCATTTATGAAGAAATGGACCAGGTTAAAGGCTTTTAGAGGTGTTAGAAAAAGGTAAAATTAATATTTCATTTATTATTATTGATTATTATTTGTTATTGATATAAAATATATGTTTATTTTGTAGTTATCTTCTTTTGTGTGATATCATTGATGAAAGGTGGGATAATCAAATTCATACGCCTTCGCATGCTTCTGGATTTATCTTAACCCCATTATGCATCATAGTCCCTACTTCAAAGCTGATTTGGAATTTAAAAAAGGAATATATGACTGTTTACAAAGGGTTGGTGGGAGATATTTAAGAGCAAGCCAAGATTCATGCCCAACTTGAGGATTTCAAAGCCAAAAAAGGATTTTGTTTTTAGTGTTATGGCAATTGAAGCACTTAAAACCAAAACTCCAGCTGAATGGTGGGAATTATATGGTGATGAGCATCCTAAACTAAAAAAGTTTGTCATTCCAGTAATAGAACAAAGAACCAAATAAGATTCGAAGAAAGAAAATATTGAAATGAGGGATAAAAGAAAACCAATAGAACCCGTATACAAAAGTCCATAAAAAGCCACATTAACTCAAATAAATGTTATCATTTTCAGTAGTCTTAATCCAATAGAATTACCTTGGTCTGTTGTCTGCAACTACTTTAAAAGGTGAGATTCTTACCAAAATGGGAGGTGGGAGTGGGATTATTTTGCACAAATTTTATTTTAAAAAATCATGTGTGATGTGTCCGTTTGTTTTGCTTCTACTGTGGTTGCTATTTTTTGAAAATAGCTAAAATTGCCAAATCAAGAAGTTGAAAAAACTCTACAACAGTAAACAATTAGGTTTTTCGACGAACAAAGTCATGCTCTGTTCATGCACATACGTTGATAATCAGGCCAACAAACAATGGCTCAAATACCTTGGTGATTAGAGAATAATGCTTTCTTATGCACCGCAATGATTGGAAGTAGAAATAATCAAGTGATAAGGAAACTGCAAGACATGTCTTTACATCACCTGATGAGTAATTGGTTTGAAACCTGTGCTATATGCTCCATTTGGACTGCGAATAGATAAAGAAAACGGTTAACAGTTGAACAATCATTCATAATACAGTGTTTCAAGATCCAGGCATACACAAATAAAGAGAAATCTGGCTATAACAAGGAATTTAAGGTTCCGTTTGGAAAGGGAGAAAATGATTTTTTGAAAAATGACTTCTTGAAAATGAATTGTTTTCTGGAAGTCATTTCCCTTTCATCCTTTTCTGATGTGTGGGAGACTTTAGAAAGTTTAGAAGGAAAAGAGATGACTCAATGGAGAAAGTCATAGTTTTAAAAATCGGACCGGACCAGCCGGTTCGGACCGGGAACCGGTGAACTGCTCATCAAACCGGTCCGGTCCGGGCAATCAAACCGGCTCCAGCATTGAACTAGTAAAAACCGGTTAAAACCGGAGAAAACCGGCCGGTTTTTGGCCGGAAACGGTTTTTTTAATTTTTTTCAAAACGTTTTTAAAAAACCACATGCCCAAGATTCGAACCAAAGACCTCATGGCCGTACAGAGCAAGCAGCATCAAACCATCTCTGCTACAATGCTTGGTGTTGATTCCTTGCTATTCCTCTTTGATATTCTTTAACTACAAAATTCTTTATCAAATACTTTAAAAAATATAGAGAGTTTTTTTAACTAAAATTCAAAACAGATTGACACAAATATTTTATTTATATATATTTTAAATACTAGGTAAAATGTTTCAGAAAAATCAAATCACTTTTTATTTATATGCATTTTAAAATATGTGATGACACAACTCAAGTAAATTAAGTCAATTATAAATTTAGTCAAACATCAATTATTAATTTATAAATAGAGGAAATATTTTTTGTTTACTCATATATTAGTTATTTAATTCAATGCCACAACATACATACATACATACATACATACATACATACATACATACATACATACATACATACATACATACATACATACATACATACATACATACATACATACATACATACATACATACAATAGATGTTTGAACCACTAGTTCAACCACTCGAACCATTGGTTCGACCAGTGAACCAGTAAACCAGTGCCTTGACCGGTTCGATCACCGGTTCGGTTCTCAAAACTATGGGAGAAACTGAAACCAGAGAACATTTTCATCTCAACATTACGGTCACAGAGGTCTTCTCCTCGGTAGCAATTAACCCCACCCACCCACCCCCCCCCCCAAAAAAAAGATGTAGGAATCAAAAAGATGTATTTGTGGCTGTAGCACTTGCACGACGGCGATGGGTGAACGGGAGCCGATGGCAGATTTTGTGTGATGACGTGGCGAAGGTGGCCCTTCTGCGATGGGCAATTGAGCAATGGCCGATGGGAGATGAGCTGCGGCTCAGCTCCAGACTGAAAGATGATGCGGAACGTGAGACGGAAAATGACTTCCGTAAAAGAAAAGGGGAGGTCAAATTCCTGATTATTGGCCTCATTTTCCATTTGACCGACCTTTATTTTCTATTGACTTTGATTCCAAACACCGGAAAATGGAGAAAGTGACTTCCAGAAGTCATTTTCTGTCTTTCCAAAGTCCAAACAGACCCTAAAAGTAAAAAAATAAAAGAAAGATCTCAGGAAGAAAATATGTTGCATTATTTTTCAGGCACCATTATATCTTTTAAGTGTTGGTAAAAGTGACCTTCTATAATCAGGAATTCCGCTCTCAGTGCTTATTCCTGCTCCAGTCAAAATAACAAGCTTTTTGCTGCACAATGCAAAATACGGTAAACAAATTAAAAAAAGGTGACAAATTAACACCATCACAATATTCACCTTATCTACAAAGAAAGATGTTAGGGCATGAATTAGAGACTGATCAGCAAATGCATGAATTTCAAAGGATACCATAGCATAAGAAATTAGTCCAATTAAATTCTTTCGAGCAAGAACCTTTTTTATAGAACTTTAAAGTTTCTCCTTTTTCTTTCCCGTCAACATTTTCTAGCGGAAAAAGTGTATTTTTATGGAATTCAATTTGGTGCTTCAATCTAAATGATGTCCTTCCTCCCTATGAGTACTTTAGTTGCTTATCATATCTCACATCTGTCGGCCTCCCTTGCCCTTCGCTAAGCCTTTTTTGGCAATGAATTGGATGCCCAAACATCCCAAAGGCAACGTCAAACTTAACAAGGCAAAATGCAGAGAGGCAAGGATCCATGGTGTGAGCTCCATACCGCCACCATGCCAAGTTGTTGCTTAGGTGATGCCATGACGACTCTGTTATTAGTATTAGTGCAACACTAGTTACACCTATTTCCCTTTTGCAAAATCATATGCTTACCCTTCAATGATAATCAGTGCATCTTTTAATCCAACCACTGTTATAGATGATGAGTTTATCGGAGTAAATTAACTTAGAACTCAGAGGCAGATGCAAATAAAAAAACAAAGGTGAACCATCAAAAGATACCGGCTACTTCAAATCACAATTAGCTTGGCCTAAATCATCCAACTATCGACATAGCCAAAATTAGTAGAACATAAGAAAGTTGCATAACCATCTTTCTTTAAACATGTGTGCATACCTTTTATCGAACAATTCATACAAGCGTTGGATATCAACTCTACTTGGAGGGTCTGAATAAGGAACTGTCTTTTTGTCTCTTAGAGGCGCCTCATCCATGCTTCCTGATGAAATTTGGGGAAATTTTATATGCCCCCTCATTTCTGTATACTTAGCAGCCATATGACAGGGTACTATGCATTTCAATCTGCCTCGAAACATCCCATTTCTCCCCATTGATGATACACTAACACCTGGACACAACCATAAATATAGAATAGCACGAAATACTTCCTCTATCACACTATGTTTGTCCCATTATTCCTTTTTGACATGTCCCCAAATGTTTGTCACATACTATATTTGCTTATATTTAAATGGCCCAAAAGTATTTGTTTTCTACAAATTGAATACCAACCACACAATTACACTTTTACTTTAATTGTGTAAATCATCTTCATTACTCAAACTTAATGGAACTGGGGGAGTATGTTTTTAGCTCCACCTTTCAACAAGTCAAAAGAGCGAACTAGACTAGACATGCACAATCATACCGCTGTATTTTAATTAAATAAGATTAAAAAAGAAGCATATACGGTTGTTCTCCAAGTTTGTATCCAAACAAACTCCATATCATCGAGCAGACTTGATTTATCCAAACTCTGCATTCCAAGCATAAAGCTCCGAACTCCCGTAAGAAAAAATTAATTTTTGAGTAGTCTCATAAGTGTGCGAGTCTCAACACAAAACACATCCTTTGTTTGAGAAGAGGAAGGGAAAAAAGATCTCAAGGCTTTTCCTTTGGATTAGAGGAAATAAGAATGAACATGATATGGTTGTTGTTATTATTAGTAGTATAAGCATTTGTTTCATATTATAATTATTACATAGTAGTAACTAACCGTAGTTTCCTAATAGTAGTCTCATTCCATTTTAGTTAATATTCTTGATAAGAATATCGTATTAGGTTAGAACTCTATTAACTTGCTCACCATGACTCTTGGGAGTTGGGAGTAGTATATGTAAAGAGGTTATATTACTTAAAAACATTTTTAAACAAATAAATTCCATAAATGATCCCTTATAACAAGTGGTTTTGCATATTTAGTTCACAACACTAAGATACTATTCAACAACAACATTACCCGTTCCTCAAAGGCTCCTGCACATTGTGAAGTAGGGGGTCAGATGTTTATAACATAGAGCTTGCGAAGTAGGGGGTCGGATGTTTATAACATAGAGCAGATGTACGCAATTCTAAGATATTGCATTCGCGGTTCTCAATTTTTGAAAACTATTCCAAAATTAGTCGTTTAGGCCAACCTTGACCAAATATTATTTTCCACATATAGTCCCCAAAGGACTTATTATGGAACGGTTTTTTTTATTGAAGACCGTGAATGTAATATCTTAGAATTGAAGACTAATATGGGAAACCACCTATTATATGGGATCTTTTTTAGAATTTAGTCTAAAAAAATCATGAATGGTTGAAGATAAATCTCTAATTAAGAGAAGCTAGTCACTGACTGCTTCCTCTCCTTTTAGCCACAGGCAAGAAAAAATCAATATCATCTTCTAAAGCAAAGAGATCGGAGTGAAAATCAAAGCTTTTTCCTACATTTTCTCTTATTGTTACCACAAAAAATACTTCAGGGTCCGTTTGGTACACGGAATTGATGGAATTGGAATTGAATTGGAGTAGAAATTTTGTTGAACTGAATTGGATGGAATTGAATTCTTCAATTCTAATTCATTTTTTGCACTACCAATTCCAAATCCACATATTCTTGTGCTACCAAACGGCAGAATTGGAATTGAAGTCTTTAATTCCAATTCAGTGGTTTGAATTACGTGTACCAAACGGAGCCTCAATTAAAATATTCTCGGTATTTGCTATCTACATGACTTCAATCGGTTCAAGGAAACACTCCCTCTCTGTCTATTTCCTCTCCACCAACCAAAGGCACTCATATGCTATAAGGAGACAACATTTTGTCCTATACAATAGGTGAAATATAAGATGTTATGGGATACTTTAAGCATAAACATAAACAATTAAGGCCGTAAAAATATAGTGATTGTGCTTGCGTGTAAAAGGTAATCTTAGCAATTGTGCGACTCAGTAGAAGATATTTTCAATCTTATAAATATATAAATTGATTGTTCCCATCTCATGTCTGACTTAATAAAAGATACTTTCATGTGTATGCCCCAAGTTCGCCTTTTGAGAAACATATGTAGTAACTACTCTAATTGTTTTGTTTAACATGTATGACTTGCTTGGGATTGACATTATTAATTGCACAGAACTATATTTTTTATGTATGTGTGTGTATGCCCCAAGTTCGCCTTTTGGCCGCCCGCCTCTTGCCTCGCCTTTTTCCTTAAAAAAGGTCCTTTCGCCTTTCAAAACTATGCGGTGATGATGCAGCTTTTGACGACATTAGAAGTTATCAAGAACTCGTGGGCTCCCTTCAGTATCTTGTTCTTACACGCCTGGACACTGCCCATGCCACTCAGACGTTGGCCCAATTTTCTCAAGCTCCTTCTATCGGGCACTAGCAAGCTCCTAAACACCTTATGTATCTATCGGTTCTATCCAATACTGTCAATCAAAGGCACTATATTCACTCTCAATCCCCTCTAAATCTCCATGCCAACACAGACACATACCTTGCCGGTAACTGTGATGGGCTGATGGAACATGTCAGACAAGGTTCCTTGAAAATATGGGCAAACATTTACTTTCTTGGAGCTCGAAGAAACAATATTATGTGTCACTCTCTACAACAGAGACCGAATATCGTGCCTTTGTGCAAGCTACATTACACAAGAGTTTCTTTGGGTTAAAAGTTTACTCCATGAGTTGCACATTCTGTGCACCGTGTGCCTCTTATGGTACACATACAGCCTGGGCACAACATGTGTGGCTGTTATCCAATATTCCATTCACTAATGAAACATCTAACCTTGGACTGTCATTTTATCCGGAAACTAGTTCAAGAAAATGGTTTCTAGAAAGGGAACATGAACTTAGGATTTACTCACAAAGCTCTTATCCTCAAAGATAATAGCAAAATTGGCGTTCCCATTCATCCACCACCTTGAGGGGCATAATAGAAGATATTATCATATCTGATAAACACTTAGACTGATTGTTCACATCTTTTAGTATCCCTCATACTATAATATGATGATATTTACTTACCTTGTGTGTAGAAACCTCTTTCTTTGTATATAAATACCGGATGTGTAATTGATTAAGAATCAAAATTAAAAACTTCCCTCTCTTATATGAATTCCTGATCATTCAATTTCCAGAAATCTTATATTTACAACAACGGTTATTAGTTTCTGTTCTGAAGATTTCGCACTGAGGTCAATTCGTATTATGAAGGTACTTTATCGGGGTAGATTTACAATAGAGAGAAAGAATAAGAAGGGAAGAGCTTTATACCCACAGAGAATGAGCAGCAGGAAGACATACGCATAGCCATGATTATCTCCTTTTGTATGAATCTGGGAATGCCGGAGAGGAATTGACACTGTCGCGATTCTTGCCTACTTTAGGGTCCGTTCCCAAAAAATAATACAGTAAAAATCATAATACTGAGTAATATTTTTTCAACTACTCCGGGTATTAAGGATGTATTTGTTGAGGAAAAAAAGCATGCTACACTTACACCAAAAAATGTACCCCATTTGTACACCATATTTATGCATAAACATTTTGATGATTTACACTGACACAAATGTTGGTGCGTTAACAAAAATTTACACGGACACAAAGTATTTATGCATTAACAAAAATTAGTTTTACACCAACACAAAATGTTGATGCAAACTTGAGGGGTACAAATTGGGGTATAAATGTTGGGATACACATAACTTAATCCAAAAAAATCAAATTTGATAACTCAAAAAATATTAGAAATCAAAAAATTACTTCTTCTTCCCCTTCTCCTCCTTTTTCTTCTTCTTCCTTTTCTTCTTTAGTTATCCTCATCCGCCTCCCATCCACCATTCCCCCTTTTTTTTCTTTTTCTATTATTAAAATTACTAATGCCCCACCAAAAATTTAATATTATTAAAATTAATTACTTATTATTAATATTACTTATTATTAAAATTAATTAGTTGTTTTACTACTCTAATTCTAAAAAAATACTAATACCCCACCAAAAATTTTTATACCCCTAATAACCTTTCCCAATCAACACTTGGATAAAAAAATTAAAATATTTTAAATTTTTAATTGAAAATTAGTTTTGATAATCAATTTTTGTATAATTTATAAATTTAAACTTGTTACTCCGTTATGTACTTAGATATAAAATATATGGAGTACGTTATAATTTACAATATAAGATGAAATTTAACATTATTTTTGTCGTTAATATTACGTATTATCTCAGTCTCAAAATGATTTATAGTTTTACTATTTGAGTCTCTTGATTAATTTTGTTTACTAATGTATTCTCATTAGTCATTTGACAACATTAAATATCTTTGTGGCATGTATTTTATAGAACTTTTGATAGCTTTTATAGGGCAATTGATATATGCACTCCACATTTGGTTAATGGCACTCCACCTTTTGTCATCTTTTTCTATATAGACAATAATACCCTTTTAAATTAATGCGGAGTCATACAGAGTTACAGACCATCGCATCATTTGAAGAATGCTACTCCGGAGTAAATTGCTATTTTAAAAAAATGGAAGAGCACAACGGAGTACATTCGGATAGTTTGAAGTACAATCTTCTAATTTCTTTCAATTATTCTAGATTTTTATAATTTTTTACATTTTTTCAATTACTTATAAAATATATTTACATATGATAAATATACAATAACATCATATATTCAAATTTATACTACCTCCGTCCCAAAGTATTTGTCCACTTTCATTTTTACACACCATCCAATACACTTTTTTAATCCATTTTATCTTGTAATTTGTATATTAAAAAATTATAGAAATTATATATTAATAATGTATATGTTAATACAAATCAAACAAGATCACACATGACTATATTTAGGCTTACACATTGAGAGAATTTGATGAGTCAAAGTGTTTAGATGAACAGTTCCAAAAGTCAAAACTGAACGAATATTCCGGGACGGAGGGAGTAACATACAATTTCAAACACGTGCAAAGTTGAACTTTTTTATTCAAAATTGATTTTGTGAAATTTGCAGTGATTAGGAATCAAACATAAGTCAATTCCCAATGTAGGATTTAAACTTTTTTAATACTTTTTCTAATTAAATGATTTTTAATACTTTTTTTCTTAACATTTTCCAACTTTTTTCAATTTCTTCCAATTCTTTTCAGTTTCTTTTAACATCCAATTTTAAAATTCTAATCGAAAAGAACAGACCTCTATTATTGATGAAGAAGACCTCTATTATTGAAGAATAATTCTTACTTACTATGTCCCAATTTAAGTTGCTTGTTTACTATTCACAATGTCAAAGTTTAATCACATTCTTTATCCATTTTCCCTACTCAATTGGTAAAATCAATAATCTTGCATGTTTTGTAAAACTCTTGATTTTTGTTATAAAATAATAAAATATACTCTATATAAATTTACTCCGTATTATTTAATTCTACACTAATTTTTAAATAAATTGATCATAAAATATTTCAAGTTAAACATAATGTTAAACCACTCATTTGCTAACTAAAAATACGAGTAAATTCCATAAAAGGTCCCCAGTTATAGGTCGTTTTACATATTTAGTCCCTACATATCAAATATTACTAATTTGGTCCCCAATTATTATATTTATTTCTACGAATGGTCCTTTGTTAACATTTTCATTAAAACGTGGATAAAATTATAAATTCACACTCATTTCTTTCCTCAATTAAGCTTTCTCCTCCCTTGTACTCCTTTCTCAAACCCGTCGCCGAGTTTCTAGCTTTGAACTCTAAACCAAAATCATTACTCTTCTCTCAATTGTTTGTCTAACTCGAGGAACGATCATTTAAATTTTGGGTTTAAGAGCTTCAAACTCAGCGACGAATTTGGGAAAGAGTATGAGAAGATGAAGAAAGCTTAATTGAGGAGAGAGAGAAGTATGAATATACAATTTTATCCACGTTCTTAACGGAAATGTTAACAAAGGACCATTCGTGGAAATAAATATAATAATTGGGGACTAAATTAGTAATATTTGATATGTAAGGACTAAATATGTAAAACGATCTATAACTGGGGACCTTTTATATAATTTACTCCTAAAAATACAAGAACATAAACCATTTGCAAAATTAAGTTGGGCACTTCGGCCTGGGCACACATAGTAGTATACTACTCCCTCCGTTTGGAAAAAGTGTTCCTATTTTGACTTTGTGTAAAAATAAGGAAGTATTAAATTGTAGTTGACTTCCAATTTTGCCCTTGATGTGATAGGTAAAAGTAAGATGTGATGGATATATTATTAGAGATAAAGTATGATGTGATAGGTAGGGTATGAAAAAGTAAGGGTAAAAGTGGTTTTTTAATAGAAAGTGGAAGTGTTTTGTTGGAAGTGAAAAAAATGAAAGAGGAAGTGTTTTAAAAAACGGAGGGAGTAGTATTGTACCAACTTGAAAGGCTATTGTTGTAATTTTCAGAAAATATAGACACGAGTGGAGCGCCTTTAGCAACTTGTGGAGCGCATATATCAATTCCCCTTTTATAGCATGTAATTTGTATTTTTTATTTTTATATCAAGCAATAATACATTCTTTTCACTATATATAGAGAAATTGATTATTCCGTTTTCACATAGATTAAAAAAAGTAGTGATATTGAAATATATTCAATATTTTAAAGAAAATGTTTAAATATATTAATGATTAGTTGTTGTCAATAATTTTCTTATTTTACATTTTTCTATGTATATATGAATTGTAATACTTTAAAATTATTAAGTTTCTTGCAATAATTATAAGTTTAATTTAAATCAAATTTAAATTCAATTGCACCGTATCAGATCTAATCAGATCAGAATAAATCAAATGAAATCAGAACTAGTCAAATCAGATATAATCAGATCACATCAAAACTTCAAAAACTCAAATCATATTCAATCGGATCAATCCCAAGGATTAGAGCCTTACACATACCATCATAGAAAATAATTCTGCAAATACCCGTGCCCTGTGATGTGATTTGATAAAAACTAAAGTAGTTGTCCATCATTATACTAGAAGGCAATATTACCTTTTGGATCATAAGTGAATAGTTCGGTAGTCCTCTACGATTTTAGAAAGGAGCATCAATACTCTTCTCTTGTTTCCTTACTCCCTTCGTCCTAAAACATTCTTCGCATTTCTGTTTACGAAGTTTGATCGAATTTATTTTCAACTCAATTTATTTGATTGTATGTGTAAAATTAAAAAATAAAATTTATATATTTAAAAACTACATCAAAAATTCTAAAAGACATGTGGTAACAAGACTATATTGTTTTATAACTAATAAAAGTAGATAAAAAAGTGATTAATGTAAACCTATTATTTTGCATAAGAAACATATTTTGCATAGGTTTACATCAATAATAATAATAATAATAATAATAATAATAATAATAATAATAATAATAATAATAATAGATGTAAACCTAGCATAAGATGGCTTGCTTCACCCCACATCCATGTAGTTACTTCATTTGTATATTCTCATCCACATCAACTAACGCCCTATCCACAAGGCATAATTGAAAAAAGGATCCGCTTCGCCTGAGCTTACACCAGCAATTGTTTCTCTTCCTTGGCTGTGACAAGAGAGACTGTGTGAAGAACACAAACATTTTTCAAGTTTTGCATCGAGATAGATGGCTTTGTTGGAACACATGTTTACACCTATGTCGTACTAAAGCCGTGTTCGTTTGTGACAGATTTTGATAATGTCAAACTGCCGTGAATATGAGAAGACATTGAACAAACTCAAGGCGAAGAACATGATATATTAATCAAGTGAAAACAATAACCAAGAACGAAGACTTATAAAATATACAGTAGAGTCGGTCTTTATGTGATCAAGACCGGCATTAACTTCGCTATCTTGGCTCTCTAGGTTAATCTCATTAAAATTATTTTCATGCATCATAAAAACTCTTTTTCATAAAGTTTTCATAAGACCAAAACACTTGGCATTTGTCCAAAAACCATGATGTCTGGGTTCGGCTTTCAGAAACCGCCGTTCGGCTTTCAATTATCAGCGTTGGTTTTTGGCGTCCGAACCAACCAAGTCGTTTTTAACTTTTCATTATTGGTTTTTGAACGACAATGTTGGGCCAGCAACATCGATGTTAGGCCAAAATCTTCCTTTGACATTTTAAGCCTGAACAGAGATGTTCACTTGTGAACATCGATGTTGGCACATGACCTTTGAAAGATATTAAAGGCTAAAACTTTTCTCTCTTTCTTAGCTGCAGCCTACAAACACAGAGCTAACATGTGCGTGACTCATCGCTCTTTCTCTCTGTTGTTCACAAATCACATCATTATTCTGACCTCCATCTTTAAGAGATAGACCGGCATCTCTATTCCTTTGATCTCATTCGCCAGTGGTGATTCTTTTTTTATTTAATTTTGAACCCGTTTCTTTCATTTTAATACATTGTTGCATTGTCACACAAATTCGTAAATCTAGGGATGTGTGTGAATCTGTCTCTTCGATCTAAATAGGTTTGGTCCAATTGATTTTGGTCTAGATCGGTCTAAAAGAGACTTCTAATAGGTCTGGTCTTCGGTCCACCTTTTATCTCAATTCGGTTTTCGGTACGGTCCGGTTTTGGACCAATGAAAATCCCTATCCATCACATACTATAATCGGGGCTCCAATTAAGCTTCTTAAAGAGCCACATTAAAAAATTGACGGTTCCTAGTACCTTAATCTTCTGGTAAACCTCTGCATTGACCCAGTCCGAACCAATTAACCCTGATCACCTCCAATTCTACTAGTTGAACTTAGAGTTAAAAAAATTAACTCCAAAGTCAAATAAAATTGGGCGATGCAATTGAAGGGGGTGGGGATCGAGGCAGGTCGGGCCAAGGTGAGGGGATTATCTGGGGGTTATAGGGGTGTAGGAATCGTCAATTTTTTCGAACGAAGCCTCATAAGAACACCAATGGAGTTCGAATCATTGTTTGACATTCGAGTTCAATGTCACTTGAACCTCTCCTATAGAGTCCTCTATCCATAAATCTTCTTCACAATCTTCTTACGATGTTCAATAAAATTGTTTTCATTTTTTTTGACAAACTTTTTATGTGAAATGTCCCAACTACCCCCAGAATCACCTTCTTCATTTTTTCCCCGTGCAAATCACATCTCCCGTTCTTCTTCCTCATCCCCTTTTTTCTTCTTCCTCCTTTTTCTCTTCTTTCCCTTCTCCTTGATCGAAAAAAAAGGTACTAGCCACATCTGCCCCAAGATCCATTAATTTAATCCTCAAGCGCAGATTCAATGTTTGGAGGACGTATATAGCATACCCGTTTGAATCTTGCGCAGATTTAATCATTCATTGGATGGTCTTTACCAATAGGCTTGGTTATTAATGTAGAACACCTGCTTACTACGGACAGTAGAATAGTAAATACAATACGAAAAATAAATATGATAACATAATATGGAAAGCTAAAATAATTTAGTAATTTCCTATTTATCTTATTCAATTGCAAGCTGATCATTGATAATAAAGAATAATTTGGAACACAAGTATTGAAACAAAGATGGCGAGAGATGTTTCATGCAAATAACTATTAGAAGTGGAAAGACAAATCTTCCTGATGTGTTTTGTTGAGTTTTAATTGGAGATAGGTTTGGTGATTAATGGAGGGAGATCACCTGTCAACACATCATTCAGTTCACCCGCGTTTAGTGCTTACTACGTAAGAAAAATCTAGCTTCAATACCATAATACTCCCTCCGTCCCCAATTTGATTACAAATTACAGGTTATGGAGTAAAATTTCCTACTTTTCGAAATCATTTTATTTAAAATTGGTATATCAATAAGATATAAAAATCACATATTAAAAAACCATGTCAAAAGTTCTACAAAACAAGAGGTGACAAGAATATTTTATTTTATCAAATACTTAATGAAATCGCGTAAACAAACAAAAGTTATCGAGAGGAGAGAAAAAAAATTGTAATCTATTTAGGGACGGAGGGAATACAATTTTATACTCCCTCCTTCCCGTTTTAAATCACCTGTTTTGACTTTTGGGCATATTTAAAGAAAAGAAAAAATAGAATTGATTTTTCAAAATTGTCATTACTTTTTAGAAGGGTGACAATGAATGAAAAGATAAGGAGGAGAAGAGTGACTTATTTTAGGGGTACTTTAGGTATTTTTACTCTTAAAAGTTTACGATAACAAGTAACAGATACTCTCTCCGTCCGAAAATAATCTTCCCATTTCTCTTTTTTTCTCGTCCGGAAAAAATCTTTCCATTTCTAATTTTAACCTTTATTCTTCCAAAACTACCCTCATTAAATAACCTTTCTTTCTTTTTTTTTCCTTTTCTTCCTATTCTTCTCTTCTTTCTTTTTCTTTCCTCCTCCACTTCTCCATCTTTTTTCTCCGCCTCATTTCTCCATCTCCTCGTCACTTTAATTTCTTCCATTGTTGATAGAAATCGTCTACCTCATCTCTTCCTCCTCCTTTCTTAGACTTTCTCTTCTCCTCTCTCTCTCCCCCTTGATTCTTCCTTCTCTGCCTTCGATTCTCCTCTCTCCCCCCTCCATCTTTCTTCCCTCCTCCTTTCCTCTCCGTCTTCCTTCCAAATCTGGGCTATGGCGGCAATGGTGGCGGCGATTGTGGCGGCTAACGTGATGGTGAGTGTAGATCTATACTACTACTCATTATTTCTTATAGATCTACACCACCACTCCTTTCTCTTTATATTTATTTTAGATCTGTTCCATGGTAGCTGTGATGGTGGTACATGGGACAGTGTTGGGGCTGACCATGATGGTGGGGATGCCAACGATGGTGAGGCTGGCGGCGATAAAAAGATTGATAGTGGTGGCAAGGGCTAGGGGCTAGGGAAGATGTCGGAGCACCGGTGGTGAAGGGGTAGTGGTAGGGCTCAAGTTGGCGGTGGGAGATGGCGAATGTCAGAACCAGGAACGGCCAGCTTCCTCATTCATTCACTAGCCTTTTTAAGGCATTTTAGTCATTTCAACTCATAAGTCAACCATTCAAAAAAATGAGAAAAAGTCCAAAGGAGAAGGTTTTCCGGACGGAGGGAGTAACTTATTTTGGAACGGAGAAAAAAGGCAAACAGACAATTTAAAAATGGACAGAGGGAGTAATAATTAGTCTTGCTGAACTATGAAGGTTGCACCAAGATATAAAGGGAGTTGTACATAGGAATTCCTAACTAAAGTAGGAATCGTAACTCAAATAGGAAAGGTAAATATGATAACATAATATAGTATGAAAATCTAAAATAAACAAGTGATTTCCTATTATTCCTATTACATATTAGTACAACAATAAGATTAATTTTTCATATTACACCACATCTTTATTTACAAGCAAAGATGGAAATGTAAAAAAGTTGGAGTGCAAAGGGAAATGATGCTTACGAAAGATACATATATATGCTAATGTTACACACTTAAGGAAAAGGCTAATGTTACAAAAGTAACATTCACGCTGCAGTGGCCATAGTGTCTTCCCATGTACCATACTTTGAGCTAAAACTTCCCCCACCGCTTTGCTGGGCATACTCTGAAATAACGGCTCGAGTGCAAAAATCCCACGTCCTTGCGATATCCCCCAGTGACACCGGTTGCGATAGACTTCTGAGGGATGTAAAAAGCCGCGACCTAATCTTGTCCGATACACATTCATACTCTTTACTGCGGTGCCACACACACAATTCAAAATTATACGACTAATTGTTTTTTTTTGTGGAGGTGGATCTTTAAAAAGTGGTTGCATCATACACCAGAATTTGAAAATAATGAAATAATAATTAAAACACAACTGTGTAAATTAGTAGTTGTGAGCACGCACCTCACTTCAACTGGAAAGCTGTCCATGAAAATTGGGGAGCAATTTGGATAATTTGCAGGAACAAGTAATCTCAGTGATTGTATTGGTGACTGTGCCGAGTAAAACAAAACATCAACAAAGAAACAAAACAAAGAGTAAACTAATGAGAGTTCATTGTAGATTAAACATGGTCTCTGGGAAGAGGGAGGGGTGGAATACCATTTGAGCCAAAGAACACTGTGATTTTAAATTTGGACTGAGAGCCACAGCCATAAAAGAACACTTAACAATTGTGCCTTCACTCCCATCAGTTGCAGCAGTAGCAGCAGTTAGAACACTAGGATTAATACCTTCATCACTGATTTCTACCACAGTATCAATCAATTGCTGATTAATCGCCCTTATCTCTTCAATAAGTGCATGGTTAACCTGTAAATGCGAACAAGCGAATTCATGGTGTCGGATAATACTGAGAAGATTAAGATCACATAACAACACATAAAAAATGAAGACACATGTATTTCCCAATTTATGTGAGCTCAAGAGTCAATAGGCCGGTTGAAGAGCAAAGTACAACAACAATAACAACAACAAACCCAATAGAATCCTACAAAAGTAGGGTCTGGGGAGGATGTGTGGAGGATGTGTGTGTGGAGGATGTGTGTACGTAGACCTTATCCTTAGTCAAACGTAGAGAGACAATTTCCAAGAGACCCCCAACTCGAGAAACAAAGAAGGCACGGAAAACAAACAAGGAAGAAGCAAAAGCAAACCAAAGACAAAGATGTGTGTAAAGACACAAAAAAAGCACACAAACCTCCTCTAACAACTTGACTCTAAGCACAGAAGACAAGAGCCAAAGCTACCACAAAGGCCTAGACAACTACCTTGATGCTAGCTTTCCAGACACTCCTATCTAAGATCAAATCCTAGGTAAGGGCTAGAAGTCTCATATCAAACTTGGTAGGTCTTAAGAGAATAGTAAACATCAGTAAATTAAAGAGATCCTCATAGCCTATAACTACACAAGCTCTTGTAAATACTCTATCAGGGAATCTATCTAGTATCGCATAACTCAACAAAATTGCTCAGCACCCCGAATTGCAAACCTTACTAGTGGATTGTGGCTCCTTATGATGTGCGAGTTCCTCCAAATCTTTATTTCACAAAACAATACCAATTTACAAAAGCAAGATTTTCTATGGCATCCTTCGGGAAAAAATATAGGTTATTGTTTATTGAGAAGTCCTAAATGATATCAAAGAAGTGTAGTATAGTACGTAGTACTATTCCTCGTTCGATTTTCATTTTTCAGCTCTTTTCAACAAATCCTCCCTTAAGTCATTCAATCTAACCCCAACTAGTGTACCTCAAAACAACCAGTGTTCAGCAGCTACAACAGATCTTCTAAAGTTAAAGGTAAGGTGGCTTGTCAACTTGTGTTCTTGACACGCACTTCCTCCATGGATTTTCAAATATTCTGACTGTCTTGTCAAAATATATTGTCTTGGTTCTTTATTCTTTAAGCAGAGGAAGTTCGAGGAGATGGTTAGCAGGGATTTGTCCTGAAGATGTGTTTTTTAGTTTTTGTTTTTTCTTCTTGACGTTTACTGCTGTTATAGTTATTCAAAACTTTTTCGAACAATCATTCACAAAAAAAGTCTTCTTTAGAAGATGTGTGCATTTCATATTCTTTTACATGATGTTGAAAACACTTTCACTCTTACAAACTTGCAACTCTAGTTTTCAAGCATTCCCATTTTTTTATTCATTTCCAAATGCTGTTTTTTAAAGCTTCAATAACCATTTTAAGTTATTACTCTTCTACACAAATTTCAACCGCACAGTTTACATTTGTCTAAATTCACGTGCCCAACCAAGTGCGCAATAATTTAGGCATGGAAGGAGAATAATTTTTATTTTAAATATATATTCTCAAATCCCAAAGCTGTGGATAACCAAATAACTGAAAGGCAATTAGTAAACTAGTGAATGATTCCACAACCTATAAATCTTTCCAAACTATCTAATTAAATACTAAGACGTCTAATTTTTTAATAAATACTCTCTCTGTCTAGATATATTCGTCCACTTTTTCTTTTTGGAGCATCTGAATTTAATTGTCCACTTATAATAATTAGTAAACAAATGAGTAAATTCCATAAATGGTCCATAATTACAGATGGTTTTCCATATTTAATCCTCATTTTTTGAAAACTATTCCATAAATAGTCCTTTAGGACAAATATGAAAAAATATTTTTTCTGCATATAGTCTCTGAAGGATTGATTATGGAATAGTTTTCAAAAATTGAGGATCATTTATGTAATATTTTAGAATTGGGGGGTAAATATGAAAAAGGATTTGGGACCATTTTTATAATTTACTCTAAATAATTTTTTGTGATTTATAAAAAAATGTCCCTCAAATGCATGTTAGCATTGTTGCCATCGATGGAGGACAAGCTAAGGATTTTTGTTGTCACTTTACCTTCAAAACTGATATTTTGAAAAGTAGACAACTAAATCTGGCCGGAGGAAGTGATACCTAATCTTCCTCAAATCCATTTTTTCTTCCAAACAATGCAAGTGGGGACAAGGTGGAGGGTGGGTGGGTGCGTGGGGTTGGATTAATGAGTGGAGACACATTCTCTGAACTCAAGAACTTGTGCTTTATTTAAGGTGAAAATTGTCAAATATCAAAAGTAGCATGTTAAAAAATGAGGATCTTCTCATAAACTATAAATGCATTGGATGTTTTAATTATTCCATCACATAATCTTCATATCTTCTCCATTGATACTAAATCCACCTTCCCTGGTTATTTGCCACCGAATGGGCCTTCCATTTCATTATCTCAGGACTACAAACAAATTTTTTTTAAAAAAAATGAAAAGCATGAAAATTGTAAGTTCCTAGTAGAAATTTTACTAGGAAACGACAACACTTTCCTTCGCTAGAGCAACATGTAGGGGATCATTGGACACAATGGAAAGGAAATTTAAAACATTAAAAACATATTTAATGATGACTACAAAGCAAGAAAGAGGTGCCCTTAGGATACATGTAGTACATGTATTCCTACCTATGCACAAGGAAAGCAATCAAGGTATCAAACAAGACATCCCATAATCAATCAAGAGGATCATTGTAAATCAGATTTTCTTGAACGAAAGATTCTATTAAATCATGATTAGCATGATATCATGAATAATTGATTTATCAATATTCTACGAAGTTTATATTATTGTATTGGACTATAAATAAGGGGCCTCATTATGAGAGAAGGTTGAAAGGTAGGCATTAATTTGTAGCAAAATCAGCAGACTTGCAGTTGGGGGCAGAGTTATATTGGAACTCTTTGAGAGTTCTCGGTTTGAGATTTGTTTTGTCTTTCCATTTTCTTTATTAATTGAATATATACTTCTTTTTTCTTTTTTGTCTCTTTACTCTATATCAATTGGTCTGACCTGTCGTTCAACACTGCTGCACTAATCAATCACTAGGGAGAAGAGGCAATCATAACATGGATGGATTCACGGATTTACTGGGTTGTAGAAATCTATAGCAATGCTCATATTAGTACTGGTGCTTCAACAAGCATTTCCTAGAAATGAGCTCATAGTAGTTACTATAGTTTGCATAGGCATCCTAAGAGTGTAAAAATAAACAATCAAAAAAACTATTAGGAAAGATTTGGAGTACTTTGAGAAATCTGTATGGAGCATGCTGACACATTTGTCTTTGCCTATAAATTTTATGCAACAAAATTGGTTCGAAAAGAAGTTTCTTGAACTGTCTACATTCAATTCCAATAAGCTCATGAGAAGCTTCTTAACAGTATGCAGCCACAGATTTCAAGGATGCCAGTTTACTTTACAACTAATCCCAACTCACAAAGAATTCTTATTCACACCTCACAGGTTGTCTCAACCCTTCTTTTTAGCCTACATTATATATAGACTGATCCTGTGTAGCAATTAAAGTATCATTGTAATGCAATACTCATCAATATATTTTGCCCCCTTGGTTCCCATGAAATTGGGAATCAATGTCATGGGATGTTTCGGGGGTGCTCCGGTGCCCCATTCGTAAAATTGACGGTTCCCACCCACCCTAATCCCCCCGGTAAACCCCCCCACCCCGCCCGGACCCGAACACACCCCCTCACCCCCTTCAATTGCACCCCCATGTTAATTTTGACTTTGTAGTCAAAATTCCAAAGTCAAAATTAACATGGGGGGGTGCAATTGAAGGGGGTGGGGGGGGGGGGTTTACCGAGGGATTAGGGGAACGGGGCACCGAAGCACCCCTGGGTCATCCCATGATATTGATTCTCAAACTACCTCTTTCTTTAAACATTTTCTTCAACCGTTTGATAAAATAAAATAGTCACGTCACTACTTATTTTGTAGAATTTTTATCTAGCTTTTTAATACAAAGTAATTTTATTTTTAAGCTCTACCCAAATTTTCAATTGTGTCAATTTGAAAATAATTTTGATAAAATATCGTAAACCGAAATAGGAGCCTTAATTTGGGACGGAGGGAGTATTTTCTTATGGTTCTTCCCTCAAGCTTCCACACTTCCACTGCCATGCCACTTGGTAGCTCTCACCACCCGCCAAGCCTTAATCTCCTAACTTTTTACAAGGTATCGGAGCCGGTCCATTTCCAGAATGAATACTACTTTTCCCACAAAAACATTCCCTTTTGACAAATGTCTTTCTCTAATATGCCATGCAAAAACAAACACAACTACGAGATCCTTCTCCCAACTGTGTCTCTTCATGGGAAAACACACCGCCAGGGGTAGTCTGTGTCGGTACAAACTAGCCTTTCTTTTTTTACGGATCTAGACAAATAGATCCACTTTCAGACAGCAATACCAAAACCTTCTCCATCCTCTCACAGAAACAATTCCTGCAAACACTACCCAGCTCCGATCCACCGACACACATGGCACGCGCCTGTGGCTCCACATAATACTGTGACTGCCATTTGCCATCGGCGACTTTATTTTGGTTTCCAGGCTAATCTAAGTCAACTCAACTACTCTTATGGCTCTCAGCCTCTGAGATCAAATCTCGTATCTATTTCAACAACAACAACAATAACAACTCAATTAGCCTACAAGAGTAGGGCCTAGGGAGGTTGTAGGTAAGCAGACCTTTCCCCTACTAAAAAAGTAGGAAAATAGAGAGGTTGTTTCTAAGAAACCACCAGCTCGAGTAACACATGCAACACATTTGCACATATCAAGCATGGAAGGCACATAAAGTTGTTCCATGGTCTAGAACCGGACCAGAGACCGAAAACCAAAATGGAATAAAATGAGGACGGAAGACCGGACCTATGAATACTCGGTTTTTAGATTGAACCGGACTGAAATATACAGGACCAAACCGGTCCAGACCACATGGACCGAAGT